CTATGAATTTCTTGTGACTTCAGAAACTCCCAAAATGCTTTATTCTAGAAATTAAAAAAAATGAGTAAATTTTGAAGAGCATAGTGGGAAAAAAAGATGGCAATAAGGTTAATCAAGCCAAAAAAGACTGTGGCTTGATTGATTTAAGTCTTGTTAATTTCAGGCTAGACGGTGACTTTGTGTGGGATTTTCCAAAGCACTCAGACAACTTAGTAACCAAGTCCTGTTGACTTGCAATGATGTAGGAGCACAAATTCCACTTAGGTACTTTTGGAAAAATCTCATCCTTCAGATACAGACCTGAGCAAAGGATGCACCAGGCCATGATAAGCACTCCAAAGCATTGTGCCTTAGAGCCAATCTATACTGGGGATATCTGTGCCAATCTAGGTTTACCCCTGCAAGCCCCCATTGTAACTGCAATGTACCTGTGCAGTATACTCTAATTTGAAACTGGTATAGAGAGGCCCTAAGATACAATTCTCTGCAAGGCATAAACTACAATCCCACTATCATTTCAGGTTTGGAAATCAGAGGCTATATTTTCCCTTATCTCTAAGCATGCTACAAAACAAGAGATAAAAAGCAAGAATGTATTTTCGATTAATGTCAATTGCTTCCCATCAGACCTCTGAACCTTATTCATGGCAATTTGTGTTACTAAGTAACTTGGGTTTAACACGTTCAAGCTCAATACATTTGCAATCACAGTGAAAACCATAATATCTGCACTGAAACTTTTATCACCCTCTGTCGTTACTGATTATTTGGGTTTATTGCCTGTGTTAAGTAAGTTATTTACCTCTCTAGGAGGAATGGAAATGGATGGTGTTTGCCAGAGTTAATAGGAGGTGAAAAGACAGGATCCTAGGCAACTGGGATTGTAAATAAATGATTTTTAAAGAGCCTATTATGTACTTGGCATTTACAACTGACATTCAAAAAAGGTTTTTTTAAACAACAAATACATATAGTGATTTGGAAAATATATAGGACTTAAAAAGAAGTAGCCCATTGAATAGCAACTTAGTGCAGTGTTTTATTCCTGATTATGGACTACTATGAGTATTCCTGCCTCAAGCAAAGATCCTCCATAAGAGATTTTACAGGTCATATTAACTATTACTATTGCACCTAAGCCCAGGCATTTGACCTTACTGGATGGATAAGAAACAAAACAGGCTGCCTTTCTTGTAAAGAGAAAGTTTAATTCTGCTTAGTATCATCTCTAACTTCTTGAAAGTGCAAACCAGCCCATCATCCAGATCATTAATGAAGATGTTGAAAAAAAAACCACACCACAGGGCTGACCCTGCACTCTGCTTGATGCCAGCTACTAACTAGCTATCGAGTCATTAATCAGTGTCTGTTGAGCCAGATGACCTCACCAGCTTTCTATCCACCTTACAGTCCATTCGTCAAAGCCACACTCCTTTAAATTACTGCCAAGAATATTGTGAGAGACCATATCAAAAGCTTTGCTGAAGTCAAGGTTTCTCACAGCCACTGCTTTCCACATATCCATAGAGCCAATTATCATAGAGGGCAATCAGGTTTCTCAGCCTGAATCAGGAGGCCTTCCTTGTTGTCCCCTTTGTTGCACCCTTCTCCTTGGGCTTCCTGCTTATATCCCAACATTTTATTTACTTCAGGGTTTAGCTCACCATCCCCTTGCAAACCTACATCAAAGCTCTCCTTACTTGCTCACCAAGCCTGCCTGCAAAGGTGCTCTTCCACCTCTTTGTTAGGTGGATCCCATCTCTTCCTAGAACAACATCCTGTGGGCAAAGAATCCAAAGCCCTCTGTCCCACAGCACCTGCATATCAAACATTTTTCTCTACAATTAAGTAGTCCCTACCTGGTCTTTTTTCTTTAAACAGGGAAGATGGATGAAAACATGACTGACATCTCAAACTCCTTTATCCTTCGTACCAGAGCAACCCATGGGCAAAAACATAGCCAGCACCTGTGATAAACCTGCTTGCAGGATCAGTCAGGTTTGTGTAGAGGAGTGTGTTGTGTGCAGGACCCCTGTTTTATTTGTTACAGAAGCTAGCAGGGGAATACTATTTGCAGGTACTGGAACGTGCAGGTTTAAGCTGGCTCAAAGCCCTCTACCACAGGGCAGGAGACATTGGACACAGCCCCCACTGAATACTGAGGGAAAATGAAATAAGAATGGGAGTGAGATAAACAGTGAAAAAAAAAACAGATATACCGTAGGGCACCTAGCAGATAGGACATCTTTCCTTCACAGCACCCACTGCTCTGCAAAGGTGCTTGGGAGGGAGCAAACAGCACCCAGAGGATACATAATTGGATAAAGGACCAGAAATAGACTGTAAAATCACAAAGCACCCCCCATCCAGCATCCTCCTCCTGGTGTGATGGATAGTTGTCTTGGCCAGTGCCGGGAAAAGGTTGACACAGGTCCTGTCACTTTGTGGGGCCATGGATCAGGAGATGCAGGAAGAATTCCAGTCAGAACCTCAGTAAATGGTTCTGGGAAAGCTGGGAAAGGGACTGCAATAGATGTGCCCCAGGGGACCCCATTTTGGGACTGTTGTGAACCACACAAACTTCGTGGTCATAGTTCATATAGGAGCCACCAACTAATAACTCAGGCAGGCCATAAGACCAGAATGGAGCACAGTCTGGCCCAGTGGGGCTGCTCAGCCTCCTTAGGTGGTGACAGGTACTTCCACTTCAAGGGACACGAGTGAGAAAGCGGATGGTGTGAAACACAAGCTCATGCAGGTGTCGTCTCTTGCCTGGTTTGGAGGTGCACGAGTGTCTTGGCGAATGGAGTCTGCTTCCAAGGGTTTTCCCCTCAGCTCACCAACAGATCACAGGAGAGTGCTCATTCAGACCACTGATTTACATCTTTGCAAGTTTTTTGTAATATATCAGGTTTTTTTAAAAAAAGAAATATCTATTATGTGGATTTACACTGATACCAATCTTGGTCACTAGTAGGACTGGACCTTCTAGATCTACTGCCCAGACATGTGTCATGTTCAAATTATTCCATTGGTTCAAATAGCTAGCGGGGCTTCTCAGATGTTTGCTGGTAGCAAGGGAATTGAGACTTGGTTTCCATTCCAGTATCTGGAGAGGTGCATATTTGAATGGACACTGCCACTTTTCTCTCTGACACTCTTCCATTTTTTTACACAAACCCCATCCTAGAACACATCTGAGGCTCCCCAGCTTCGTCCCGGCATCCTCATACCAGTCCTTGTTCCCGCACCTAGTAGTAAGTCCCAGTCAGGGGGAGCCTTCAGTCTCTCTGGGCCCTTGAGCAAGGAGGGAGGGGGGAACCAGCTCCACACCCTGAGAAAGGGCAGGGCCTAAAGCCAAAAGGCCAGAGCTCAGGCTAGCCTCCCTCAAAGCCTGCCGGCAAGACACATTTCTCCCCAAAGCAGGGGAGGCATTTTTGCTGAAGCTTTCCACAAATATTCATAGATTCCAAGCCTAGATAGGAACACTGTGGTCCTGTAGTGTGGGCTGCTGTAGAACACAGACCAGCAAGTGTCCCTGAACTAATTCCTGTTTGAGCCAGAGCATTTCTAAAAAAAACCCTACTCTTGATGCCAGAGTTACCAGTAATGAAGAATTCACCACAATCCTGGATAAATTTTCCCTCACACCTAAATTCCAGGCTGAATGTATCTAATTTCAACTTCCAACCATTGGATTTTGGCATACCTTTGCTAGATTGAAGTGCCCATTAGCAAATATTTGTTCCTTGTGTAGGCATTTTTAGATTGTGCTCAAGTTACCCCTTAGCCTTCTCTTTGTGAAGCTAAATAAATAGATTAAGCTCACTAAATCTATTGCTGTAAGGTTTTCTAACCTTTTAATCATTCTCATAGCTTGTCTCTAAACTTTCCAAAGCCTCTGAGGCAGGCTTCCGGCATGGAAAATGTCCAACCAAGTGGTTGAAGTTGGCAGAATTATAAAATTGTTCTCCCTGCCTTTAATGTCATACAGCATTTCCTCGCCCCTCACTGTTTCCAGCCTCACAACATAGTAGTACTAGTGCAGAGGGCCAAGCATGTTTCACATCTTAGATAGTGAAGGATGGGGAGGAAGGAGAATGACTGAGTCCAAATCTGATCCTGTTTTCCAGTGCAACAATTTCTTCTTTCTCCCTGATGCAGTGTTACTGCTCTTCTTCCAGCTAGATTTTAAATGGATCTGATTCAGGCAGGTATGCTCTGAGCATGCATGCTTGTTCAGGCCCTGCAGGTGAGATACACCACTCCGAGGTTTACATATCCAGGTGCCTAGAGAGAGACACCAATGCATGTGGCCAGCAGCAAAAATGTAGGCATGCAGGGTTCTTTACTAGCAGAAATTTAGGCACAAGGTAAGTTCAGTACCTACAGGATTCAGCAGCAGCTGAATAGGGTATTGTGAATATGAAGGACATGTAAATGCTAGACTTAGGTACCTATGTCCCTTTATCTTTTACTTTCTTTCCCTTACTATGAAAAAGATCTAAGTACGTGGGATGCAAGATGATCTGGAGGGAGCGACTCAGGTGGGGTAAAGAACTGAACAAGGGTCAGGCTTGATGTGAGGGAAATTGGAGCATGGGGAGAAAAGGCACTGGCTAGGAGGTGAGATGAGGGTTTTTGCTGGGGAGGGAGGAAAAGAAGAATAAGCAGTGTTTGCTGGAAAGGGAGATTGAAAGTTGAAAGGAGAAATGGAGGAAACAATTGAGGATATTTAGAGCCTTATGATAAGCAAAAACAATCTCTGTTGCTAATAGGTGTATGGGGGGGCGGCGTGGCACTAAAAATCTTGGTCCTTCCTCTTAACTAAATTGCTTACTAAATAATCTGACCCTCTGCTTGTACAAGGGGTATAGCAGTTGGGCCACTATCTGATTTTGGCCTTGAATATTACTGTAATAAAACATAACAGGCAGCAACCAAGAATAATGTTTGTGAGATACAGAGATTCCATGACTTAACTATGTTTATGTTCCTAGGAGCATTCTTGATCCCATACTTCATAGCACTTGTCTTTGAAGGAATCCCATTGTTTCATCTGGAACTAGCCATTGGACAGAGCATGAGAAAAGGCAGCATTGGTGTCTGGAATAACATCTCGCCTTATCTTGGAGGAGTTGGTATGTTTCTCCATGTTCTTTGAAAACTAGTTGTTGATAACAACAAGTGATTACAATGAGGTAACAAGAACCAGAATCAATATTGTCTAGGGGACTGATTAAATAACTGAAACAACTGCTTCAAACTCCAACCCAGAACAATACTGGGTCAAGGAAACTAAAGTTTGATCTTCCTAGATCACATTCTTCATCTTACCCATTCACAAGCACACAGGACTTCTCTCCGACATGAGCCTCAAAACCGCAAAGGACAAAGTTACATAAAATAAAATCAGCCTAGTGGGGATAAAGTAAATATTTTAAATATGTGTTAAAATATTTCAAGGCCCATGTGCCCAAGAAAACCCTGCTTGACTCCCATGGGGCTCAACTCCACTTTGGTTCCCTTTCACTCTGGGGAAAAAATAATGAATCAGGAATTAACCACAGAAATATCACCCCTTTATCAATGCAGAGACAAACCCTTAATTAAAAACAGGGGACCCTTTAAGGAGTCACACAAACCTCTTCCATCCCTCCACAAAAACAGAAAAAGAGGACTATGTACAAATCCCCAGCATTTAAGCATATAGAGGAATTATTTCTAACACCATTATGAGTCTGAACTGCCTAGCTCCAAACTGGGTACCTTCTGCAGGCCACTGGCATTTGGGTGTGGTGCAAACTAACTTGGGTCACTGCAGCATCACCTGTGGCATCCATCATGGTCATTTCCATGCTGGTCTGGACCCATACTAGGCTCTTCCTTCAAACTGGCTGTGACCAGGCCCCTGAGCTGATCTCCTAACCTTGTGTTGCTCAGACTGCATTTAGGCCATCTCCAGCTGGATTTACTAGCTGAAAACATAAACCTCCACTTTATGTAGGCTGAATTGTACTCTGCAACATGCCAGGGTACAAGCCAGAGTAATTAATAGCTATGCCCCTGCTGCCCTGTAACCTGGAGTGCCCTTTACAATGCCTTGCAGCTACAGCCTTCAGCCTGGACTGTTCACAAAGAGCCTCTAACATGTAAGTCACACCCAGCTATGACTGTGTGTACTGCAGCCAGCCAACCACACCATGGCTCTCACTAGCCTTGGTTATGCTGCTGGGGGACCTCAATATACCCCTGATGCCCAGAATCTTCCCTTGAAATGTAGCCCTTGAATGGCACAGCTGTCTCCTGGACAGTACAAATAATATGCATAACATTTGTTACTCTAAGTGGAGTTACCCAAGTGCTTCAACTTGAACACCTGGATTAGATAAAACAGTAAAACAACTTTATTATTACAAAGAGAGTCCTTGGTGGAAGGCAGCTCTGGAAGGGGCGGGGCCTTGAGCTGAAGGGACTGAGACCCAACTCCTACAGACAGCCTTTCATGGCCTCTAATACTGTGGCTGTGCTGGCCTGGAGCCCCGGGCCTTTTTAAAAATCATTCAGAGCCAGGGCAGCTGCTCCTTTTACTCTCTCTCCCCACCTGTCAGAGGGAAGCAAATGGGTGGCTGCCCTAGGGCCCAGTTGCAACTTTAAACATCAGTTGTGAACAGGCCGGTACTGGTGGCCAGTTTTTACCAGGATGCTGTACTGGCCTGCGCCAGCCCTCTTTCACCTGTGGCAAAGAGTCAATGAGGAAGGATATTCCCTACTGTTTTTTTTCACCTGTTTGAACTTTGTTTTCCCATCCAGCTTGATGACTCTGTTTGCTGCTTTAATTTGCATTTAAGCAAGCACACATTCCTTTGTTGAGGACAGACCTGTTGGCAACTTCCGTGTAGGCAAGGCTATGGGGTTTGGAACACGTATTAGCACCACCATAGAAAGGAATCTTAACATCACATACAACGTTGCCGCAAACATTTTACAAGGATTATGTTGACTAGCAAATTATGAGCTTTTAAATGGCACCTCACAAGACATGCCTTGTACAGAATTGGTACAGTAATGTGGAGAGTGTGAACACAGGAGTCTATTCTGTCACCCACACACAATGACAGATGGGAGCATATTAAGCTACTACCTGTAATGTGCAGACAGCAGCAGGATGGTCCAGAGGGATTCCTCTCTGCCTGCAGCACTAAACACGCACTCTTTAGGCATACATTTCTTGTCACCCACAGAGCAAGCCTTAGGCATATGCAGCTGTGTAGGGCACCACTAAATTTGGGGCACCAGTGTGGTGGTGCCCAGTGTTGCGTATGCCAGCGCCAGCTCTGGTAGCCTTATCCCCTGGCCACCATACCCCCATGGTCTGCGCCCAGCCCCCACTCACCAGGTGGTGGCAAGTGGTACAGGCACAGGGCAGAGGACTCTGGAGAAGCAGGGAGTGCCTACGCAGCTGGCAGGAAAGAAGTTGTACTTATTTCCACTTAGTCTGTTTGTCTTTCTCCTTTTCCCAGGGGAAGTGGAGAATTTGACAAAGGTTCTCATTGGGGATGGTGGTACTTGTATTCCCTTCAGGCCATAGCGTATGAAGTGATGGAGCAACTGAGTTGCCCAGGCAAGAACATAACTCTGAAGATGACTGTTTTGGGGCCCATTTAGAAAGAAGTCTGTATGGTCTTCCCAAGGAGATGCTCTCATATTTCCCCAGCCTTCGGAGAGCACTCAAGGGGGATAAGGCCATTGCAGAGAAACTAAATGAATTATTTGAATCAGTCTTCATGAATGAGGATGTGAGGGAGATTTCCCCAACCTCAGCCATTCTTATTAAGTGACAAATATGAGGAACTGTCCCAGACTTGATGTCAGAGGACTTTTATTCTAAAACCTCATCAGAACCAAATAGCATTCACCCAAGAATTCTGGAGAAACTCCATTGTGAAATTGTAGAACTACTCATTGTGGTATCTAACTTTTCATTTAAATCAGTTTCTGTATCAGTTGAATGAAGGATACTTAATGTGATACCAATAGAATTGCTATGCTGTCACTTCCACCCACTCCTACATAAACACTTCACAATCCTCTGCACAGAGGCAGCAGCAAACCATACCTGGTTTCTCTGCTACTAATGTGAAATGCTGTCATGCACAAAAGCTGTGTTCTGACTTTCACCTTGCTCCTGCTTCTGAATGGCTGCTTCTGGTCATCTGCATTTTTTCCAGACCCTTAATTTATTCCACACCATCCCTTTTCTCCTCCAACCTCTTCATTTTTTATTTTTAAAGATATTTGTTATAATCCATCTCCTCACACAATCCTTTCTTTCCTTCACTACTACAGAATAGCACCCAGAATTTGAAACGTGATTCTAATATATTCACCCCTGGGGGAGGTTTCCTGTCTGGGTTGTTGAGTAATCATAATTTTGATTATATACAGGGGAGACCACCAGCACAGCCTACCTAGGTTCTTTTTCAAAACCATCAAAAGGGGGGAAAAAGACAAAAATATGTACACGAACGCAAATAAGAGATGATGGCAGAAGCGGCATAGGTTATTGGGTAAGGGAACTGAGTGTTGTAACAGCTTATTTAAATAATATGTTTAAACTGAGCTTTTGTTTATTCAATAGGTATTGGTTCACTGATGGTGTCATTCCTGGTGAGCTTGTATTATAACACCATTTTAGCGTGGGTGATGTGGTATTTCGTTAACTCCTTCCAAGAGCCCCTTCCTTGGAGCATTTGCCCATTAAATGGGAACAGAACAGGTAATTCATATTGCAAGTCTTTTGTCATTATTGGTGTTAAGGGGATTATAAGTGTTACAATCTCTTTTTTTATTCCTATAAAATGACATTAAGTCTTAGAGTGTACCGATTTTTTAAAAATAGCTCATTTTAAAATCTACTTGTTGAGAGACGGTGACTCAGCCCTATATGGTCCCACAATGATGGCGACTTTGCTCCCATTATCTCTTTGCAGACAAATAACATTCCCCCACATGACAGCTAAGGCAAGGGATGAAAAGTAAGTCTGTGCATTGGCTATTTCTGCTTCCTATTGAGCAAATGGACAGGAGAGCCATGCAGTGCCCAGCATTGACAGGGGATCTTACAGCTATCCCATGTAAGATTTTGTTATGAGCTACTTTCCCTCAAGGTTAAGGGGGAAGTAGAGAAGGAATTGGTATCTGAGACCAAATTCCTTCCTGGTGAGTACAATTACACACTTCCTCTTTCACAGGACTGAAATCCTAAACAAATCCCCTAAATCAGGATACAACACGGAACTGGATTACCACTGTGCCCCCTTAGCTCTCCAGACTGGGCTGTTTTTTCATTAGCAACAAGCAGCAGATCCCTCCAGGTGCTGTTATCATTTGGCACAACATGTGGAGCCCCACAACCAGCTATACTGGATGAAAACTCCCAGAGCCTCTCACAAATCACATAGAGAAAGACTCCCATAAACCTCCCAAGTCCCCAGGCATGCATTCCCAGACTATTCCATCTTTCTTTCCCTCATCAGAAGCTTGACCAGTGTTAATTTATCACCCAATCCACCCTTCCCTCAATGTAGAGAGGCCATACACCGGCCTTCGTAACCTGAGCTGGAATTTCCCAAAGTTGGGTTTTCCTGCCTAAAAGATGTGTTCTTATTCAAGCAAGGATTGTTCTGAAGAAGTTCTAGGGCCTGTGTTATATGGGTCAAATGAGCGGATTATCACTGTAGTGTCTTACGTGCATAGGACCTCTGAATCTATATTAGAGAGCCATTTAGCACCCTATTTGCTTTCCCTGAAGGTACTTGTGCACTAACTCATCTCTTAATAAAGAACTCAAGCTATTTAGTTGAAGTCTCACTGTAACGCATTTTATCCAGTCCTCCAATAACTCATGAGTCTTGCCTGCACTCTCTTCAGTTTTTCAACATCCTTCTTAAAGAGTTAAAACTAAAATGTTAACACAATATTTCAGTATCCATCTCCTCAATATTGTATAAGGAGGTGAAAAACCACCTTCCTATTGCTATTCACTACTTACCTGCTTATATATCCAAGGCTCACATCCAAGATACCCATTTTGGCATAGCAACACCCTAAAATCTCATGTTGAAGGCAGTGTTCCCTCTCAGCTATGGGGCAGCACAGCTTCACAGGGACTGGTCAGCCTCCACCAGTCAGTCAGCTCCACGTAAGGAGTCCTGAGTTTCTGACTGGGTGGAGCTGATTAATCACTTGTGAAGCTGTGCTGTGGGCAGCTGAGAGGGAATACTGATTGAGGGCTTTTCTATTGTGACCCCTAATTCTCTCTCATCACACTGGCTAACAAGGAATCCTAAAAATCAGTTTTCCGAGGCATTCCAGTCATATCATTATCAGAAACACTGCATTCAGAGACAAGTGGGTCTTTACAAGAAATCTCATCAAATAAAAAGGTTCTTCTAATCCCAAAGGATCACACACACACACACACACACACACGTCAATATACAACTCAGCTCTTACCCAACCATCACATTGTTGCCCATTCTTTAGTATCTAAATCTAAAGGTTCATTTAAAAGGGAAAAAAGGGAGCGTGAACAAATGCAAATACATACAATAATTCAGTTTTGCCCCAGCCAATGTGTGTCATATTTTTGGACTTGCCAGAAAAAACCACTTTTGTTCCACAGGACCAACCACTGGTAACAACTGTGTAGAAATACCAGTAGTTAGTGGAGCACCAATTGGATACTGCTGCCCTAACGAAGACTGCAGATTTGGAAACCAAATATAATCTCACACTTTATGTGCTGCTAAACATTGGTTTCAGATCTATGGCTCCTCGTATGGCTTTCACAAAGTGAACTGAATGTTGCCTTCAGCTGAGGAGTCCCTCAGTGTCAGGGAATCCACCAATGGCAGGATGACCAGCACTCCCTCCCCGCTTCACAGCCTTTAGCATAGATTTACTGGGAGGCATGGGCGTATCCTCCTCAGCTCTCTGTCAACCCTAGCTGCTGCATTATTCCCATGTGCAATTTAGAATAACTCAAGGCTGCTTAAAACTAGTCCCACTGACATTAGTATAAGGTGGCTGAAAAGTGATATAAAGCCTCCTTCTGTACACTATCTAGATAAGGATCACAGTCCTTGATCGTTTAGTCTTGACTAATATTTCAAATTTCCAGAATAGCTGCCTGTCTTCACAAATATAAAATGTTGCTTCATAATTATTGATTCCACATGAATGGAAAATGAGATATTGTTTAGATCTTACACTTGCCAGTTTAGTAATAATCATACTTTTCTTTTTAGGGTACATCGAAGAATGCCATAAAAGTACTTCAGTAAATTATTTCTGGTACAGGAGAGCTTTAAACATAAGCTCCGATATCACTGACAGTGGAAACTTACAATGGTGGTTAGTTTTGTGTTTGGCTAGTTCTTGGGCAATTGTATATATTTGTATCATTCGAGGAATTGAATCTACAGGAAAGGTGAGTAAATACAGAGACAATGACCTAGACAAGTTAACTTGTTGCTTTCTCTCTCTTGTCCTTAAAGTACTGGATTTCATCTTCGTGGGAAATACAAAGACAAGGATGTTCTTTCAAACCCCTAATTCTCAGCATAGAGTAAATATCCCCAAATATTCTTTAGGGAAATTTTTTTTGACAAACAAATTCTGTAATTGGTCATACTGCTTCCTTACACATGTCATATTTAGAATATGCTGCTTCAATAAATTGTGCTAGAATGAGATGTTGTAGGAACTAAAATAACCTCTGTAGACTTTGTGGTTTATCTCACTTTTCTTATTTCCATATTAGGCTATTTATGTAACAGCCACATTTCCTTATCTGGTCCTAACTATATTCCTTATTCGTGGGCTCACTCTACCAGGAGCCACTGAAGGCTTAGTGTACCTCTTCACACCTAATGTAAGTATCAGTGTGTGTAGTATTCAAACATATTTTCTAGTTATACAGATTTTCAAATATCACTTTTCCCAACAACTTCCTATCCAGTACTTCATCTAAGCTCTTTTTCAGTTGAAGCATCTGAATACATCTTAGACATTGATAAGAGTGAAAGAACTAAATCATGTTACAAAGCATTTTCCTATACTTCGATAAAGTATATACTTAGGTATAAGCATATTATGGAGCCATCTTTAGCGAAACCATAGTTAAGGTGAAGTTGAGTTTTGCACTTAAAAGACTGATTCACTCTCTTATGAATAATGTGTATCCTTCTGAAGATTACAGCATTTACTGAGTAAAAAAAATTTGGAATAAAAAATAAATAAATTTAGGAATTAAAGGTTAATGGGAACCCCCCTCCATTATTCCTCACAATAGAAAGCTTCTTCAGCAGATCCTGAAAGAATCAGGATTTACTATGAAAAACTGCCACCCAGTAAATCCACAGCCCTCAGTTAGGAGTCCAGGTTCTCCATGCATTGGGAGTTAGATGCCTAAGCAAGGGATTCTTAGGGATTCTGAACCTAGCAGACTGTGTAGGGAGCAACGTTCCCTCTAATTTTTCCATCCGTGTATAGAATTAATTTTGTTACGTGCACCAACATCAAGAGAATGTCCACAGCTGTGCACACCACCAGTAGAAACAAAAACACTTAAATTATATATATATATTACAAATTACCATACAAATAATTACTCCAGCCAGGGCAAGTTAAACGTTTTAGAACTAAAGCTTCAGAGGGGTAGCCGAGTTAGTCTGTACAGGATAAACTTAAAAAACAACAAATAGTCTGGTAGCACTTTAAAAACTAACAAAACATGTAGATGGTTATCATGAGCTTTCTTGGGCACCATCCGATCATCTGAAGAAGTGGGCTGTGCCCATGAAAGCTCATGATGCCATCTACATGTTTTGTTAGTCTTTAAAGTGATACCAGACTATTTTAGAACTAACTACTCAAGGATTAAATTTAAGTTCTGTATAAGAGAAATCAAATTCTGAGATGCACAGACCAGTCAAAAAACTAAAGTAAAGGCACAGTGAAAGAATAAAATTAAAGAAAACATATGTGCAGGAAGTATCACGAGATGACAACAACAAAAGTATGCGTTGGTTGAGAGAGAGAGAGAAAGACAGAGAGAGAGAGAGAGTGAGTGTGAGTGAGTGAATGAAGGGGAAGGGTATAAGAGATACACCTTTAAGTCAATTGGCACTCACCACTTTGAAGGTTACTTGAGAGACAGCAGCAGCCGCCAGCAGCTCCATCCCATTCCTGAGCCCAGTCCTGTTCCCTCCGCCAGTCTGTGGAGATGGAGTATGTTGTCAGGTGGAGGGGGACACCCTAGCATCAATGCAACTCTCCCAACTCTGCGCAGAGAGAGGGAGGGTCCCAGGAGCTGCTGGCCAGGGGCTCCCAGGCAGAAGTCAGGGCAGTGCAGCAGCAGTGGGAGGAGCACCTGAAATGTGCAACACTTGATGGAATGGTGGACACCCAAGCAGCATAGAGGGAATACACGTAGGGTATGTCCACACTAGGGGATAAGGTTGAATTAAGCTACACAACTTCAGCTATGTCAATTGTGTAGCGTACATCAAAATAGCTTAACTCAGTTTTTGGCACTGTCCACATAGCAGGAGGTCGAAGGAAGAACATCTTCCTTCAACTTCTCTTACTCCTTGTAAAATGAGGTGTTGGAGTAAGAAGTCCTACAGCTTGACATTATTTCAGAATAATGGCTTGCAGCGTAGACACACATTTCTTTATTCCAAAATAACACTGCTGTGTAGACGCACCCATAGAGAGCCACCTAAGCTAGCTAGAAGTATAATGCAGAGGAACAGTGTGCATCTTAGGACCCAGATCCTCAAAGGTAGATAGGTGCCTAAGTCCACTCAAGTGTGTTTTAGGTTATTCACTGATGCAGAAAGTGGTGCCTCTCTGTGCTCAGGATTCTCAGCCATGAACCCACATACACACCAGCCAGGCCCCAAAATCCCAAAGACAGCTCATGCTGGCTATATTTTGTGTGGGTTAGGGATGCCCAGAGCATGCCTGCTAGACCAGGCCTCCCAGGCAAGAGAGGAGAAAGCCTAGATTAAGAATTGCACAAGAGTGACGCTTCCTAGCAGCTCCTCCAGCTGCTGGAAGTGTTAGGATCTAGACAACTTTATGCATTCCCAGTGAGGGAAAACGTGGGATTAGGTACTGAAATGGTGAGGTGGCATCTGAACAATGGTTTTGTGAATGTCAGTGGTGCCTGAACATTAGACATCGTTCCCTAAATCCCTTTATGTCCCAGAGTGTCTCTGGATTCTCACAACATAGAGGGCAATCATCTCCCCTATCTGCAGTTATGGGTTTAGTCCCTTTAAGAAGAAATGGAAAGGGGGCAGCAGTTTATGAAAAGTAAATTATTATTTATGAAAATAAATGGCAAAAGTGACCATTAATCCTGCATTCATTTCAAAATCCACCCAGGCCATCAAATCTCCTGCACACGTGGGCCAAGAAAGGCAATCTAGTCAATCCAGGCATGTATACAGGGTCCAAGGAAGTCCAAGAAGCAGGGGGAATTTGGAGGGGGTAGACATAGAGTAATGTGGGGAGCTGCAACAAGGAAAGGGACTTCAGAGGACAGAAGGGAGGGTGAAGTTGGATTACACTTTGGCTATTTTCTTCTGCTCTGGCTAAGAAGCTAGTTGAAAACCAAGTGTAAAGGGTCCATATGCTTTGAGCTGCTCCATAATAGGCGTAAAGCAGCTAGGGTGCACCACTACATATGACCATAAAAGTTAAAAGTTAATACTTCACAGCTTCAAAACATTAAACTAGCACTGAGTTTCTTCAGTATTTCTGTATGGAATTGTATTTGAAAAACAAAGGCCACATGCAGGCAAATACTATTCAGATGTTGATAAGGTTGAGCGTATGTTTTAGCAATGTAATATAAACTACATTACAGGGATGTTACAGCATCTTAGAACTGAGCAGTATAAACGTTAACGGGCTTTGGATCAGGCCCTTAATTAATACGCAAAGTATTTTAAATTCATATCGGCAGAGGAATATGGTAACTATGACACTTCTGTCACTCTCACAGAGAAATAAGAATTCATCTTTATAGAACTGGATAAACTAGACTTAACAATCTGTTCAGATCAGTAGCATTGGAGGACAAAAACCTATTTAATCCTTTTCTTATTAGTGAAAATAACGACTATAAGAGCTTGTACAGCAAGATACATCTAATTCTTAACATTTTCAAATTTTATTTATATAAAAATATATAAATACAGCACGTAACAGGGTTCACTCTCCTCTCGTGAGCACCTTTTACTCTAGACAGCTTGGAGGAGCTCTGTATTGTGCAAGTTACATGGTCTCTCTCATGTTAAAAAGTTTAACTTTACTGGATGTTCTTTAACATCCTCAATAGCTATTGCTGGAATAGAAAATGTTATCATCATATGATATAACTAGATCTTTCAGCCTTTTTCAGATACAGAATATATATATATAGTTTTAATATCTTCATCCTGTAATGGCCCTACATCAGTGTTCTGATTCCTTTCCCGATATACATTGATTCCTGTTTATAATACAGGGACTTTGTTAGCATCCCAGTGCAGTGGGAAGAGTAGCTACAACATCTCAATTCCATCCCCTATATGCCACCACATTCAGTTCAGTGTTTGTCGAGTCCTTGTTATGACCCAGTTCTGTGGCCAGGTTCTCAATAAATAGTCTCTGCCCTTCTTGATAATAAAGAGACAAAAGCCCCATGGCTTAAGTGGTACTAGACAACATCAAGGGTATGTCTATACTACATGGCTCTGTCGTCAGAGCCATTTAGATTAGTTTACTAGACATACCCAAATGAAGCGGCAATTTAAATAATCGCTGCTTCATTTAAATTAAAATGGCTGCCGTGCTGCGCCAATCAGCTGTTTGTTGGCACAGCGCTGTAGTCTGGACACTCTGCGGTCGACATCAAAGGCATTTGTCAACCTCCCCCGGTATGCCTTGGTCCTTGGTTGAAGTCCTTGGTTGGAGAAGATAGAAGAACCCAGGCCCCACTCCACTCAGGCTTCTAACTCAGGACCATTGTTTAGGGCAGCCAAAACCAATCGTTCTCTACCCCTAGCTGCTCCATGAGGTACTTCTTACCCTCTTCTTTTCTAAGAGTGCGTGTACACAGCACCCTAAACTCAAAATAAGATATGTAATTTGCATTATGCAAATTGCATATCCTAATTCAAATCTATTTCGAAATAGGCTATTTTGAAATTTGGCACATCTACACAGCTCCAAATTTGAAATAAAACACACTATTCTGAGCCTTTCCTTATCCCTCATGCAATGAGGTTTACTGGGATGGAGAAATAGTGCTCCCTTTTTTTGAAAAATATTTGAAATAAGAGGCAGCTTGTGTAGACACTGGGTAGCTATTTTGGGGTACCTCTGGTATCCCGAAATAGCTATGCAGTGCAGACATATCCTAAAGGCTCCTCCATCTTCTTGCCCTGCTTCTCCCCCTTTGGAGAATTGGCTTCTCTAGCAGTTTTTCCACAGTCTACTGGAGAGATCATATACCTGCAATTCTTCTGCCTCTCTGGCAGTTCCTTTTCTTCTTAGGAGTTCTGGATCTAACTGAGGTGCTTTCACAATGGGTTAGTGCTTCCCTTCCTAATTAACTACTTCCCAGTTTTTTAGTGAGTTAACTATTCCCAGATGAGTATGAGCTGCCCCATTCCTCTCTGTGGCACCTGTCAGAGCACTACCTCCCCACTGGCATTGTTCTTAACCTGACTGTTCATGACTTCTTTTATTTCATTCTTCTATTAGCTTTCCTTTATCAATTGTTTGCATTTCCTAACTTCCACTTCATCTTCATTGTTGTCAATTTCCCTCTTTTCCTAATTATCTCTTTACTTTGCATTGCTGCTTTCCTTTCTCTGAAATTAAGGTGCTTTCTTAAATGATAAAGCGCTGTTATGTGGCTGTGGCTATTTGATGCTGTTAATAGTTTTAAATTCATGGATTCAAGAGGCAGGGAAAAACGAAATCACTTTTCTCAAAAAAAGCAACGGAGGTTAAATACAATTTTCATATACACAGTCAGTGGCACTAGCAAGACAATAGTGAAGAAGTTTGATTTCATAGATTCTACAGTGGTGAGCACCATATACATAAATAGGGAGGAAAAAGTATTCATCAAAGTTTATTAACTCCATGTACAACAGTCACTCAGAAAAACTGTTATGCCATAAAATATAATATCTATACTGCCATACCATTTTGAATTGAGATCTTAAAAATTAACATTTTCAAATCCTTACATAATGGGCCTTCAAATTATATGGCTTTACTGAAATATATTGGTATTCCCTTCCATTTTTCAGCACACTTAAGTAGGATCCCCAGTTCATGAACCATGGAATGAACTATGAGAACAAAAGTAAAAGACAACTGAACGTTTGAAAGCAAGTCTAATATGCACATCCCTTGCAATTGTTTCAGCTGAACATTCTTAAAAATCCACGGGTATGGCTTGATGCAGCCACTCAGATATTTTTCTCTCTCTCTTTGGCTTTTGGAGGACTCATTGCATTCTCAAGCTACAACTCACAAAAGTAAGTATGTTTACAACTTCTACAGATTAGATTAACCATTTGTTGCATTTCATTATGTTCTTCCAACTGTCAAAAGCAGCATTAATTTGTGATATTTGTAAAGTATCTCATCAAACTTTGATCATCCAAAGGCTCAACTATGTTCACACTATACATGTGTGTTTCACATAGATTAGAAGATGGAAAGAAAAAATACTCATTTTAAACTTAGGGGAAAAAAAGATGAAATTTTCCTAACTATCCCTATTTGCAAGAATATTGTAAATTTTATTTCTCATAAAACTTGAGTATAAATTTCATTTCAGGATTTACATTTTTTGTGATTTTTCCTGTGGGTAATACATATGGAGCAGACAGTCCACTATCTATGTTCATGAATTAAATTGTAGACTAGTGACTAAAATCTAATTATTTTGCCAATATATAAGTTGAATAAACCCTATCATGTTATGCAAATCAATTTGTATGTGTTCTCTTTCTAGAAATGACTGTGAGAAGGATGCTGTGACAATAGCAGTTGTAAACAGTATGACATCAATCTATGCCTCCATCCCAATTTTTTCTGTTTTGGGATTTAAGGCAATCACTGGTCATTGGGACTGCCTGGACAGGTAGGACACTTGGATTTTTCAGATGCTGGATTTTTCAGTGCAGCCTAAACAGATAACATGCTAGTGCAGAAGGAGATCCAGAGAACAATTTTTATTGAAAGGAGACAAATTACATATAACTAGGAAATCTAACAAACATGTTTATGGTATATACTCATTAAAAGGTCATTATCAATAATGATCAGAGGAGGTATTAACAACACACAAAACAAATACTAAAACACTTACTCATTATTATTCTTTGCTTATTTGTATTACAGTCGTGCCCAAAGGCTCCGGTCAGGGATCAGGGTTGACTGGTTGGGGGTGCTATTCAACTACACAGTAAAATAATATTTCTTGTCCCAAAGAACTCTTAGGCTAGGTCTATGACCAAACATATCAAATGGCTCTGACAACATGTGGAAGTGGAAGAGAGAGAGGACAAAGTAGCAGTAATATGAGCATGTTTTTACACAAACTAGTATACTGTGTGTCTGCATCGACAGTCTGCAGATGGGGTTTGTATTTGAAACTATAAGCCATACTGTGATAATAAGTTTCTACAAATATTTTCCCCATAATTATAACATTTAATGTTCTGTTATGAATGTTGTATAAAACTGAATAGAATTATTAATATTTTAAATGTATATTGTATTGTAAATGTTGATGATAGCTAGGTGAGTGCAAAATAGACGATGAGTCCCTGAAAGAAGCTTCTGTAGCTCTCATCTAAACAGGTATCTGATCAAATTCTTGTACACTAAAGTAAAGTACATAAGTATGTATTTTCTCTGGCAGGAACATTATCAGTATTATCAATGAATTTGATCTTCCGGACCAAAGCATTCTGCGGGACAATTATACAGCCTGGTTAGAGTTTCTGAACACAACCCATCCCAAAAAAATCGCTGGTCTCAAATTGAGAAATTGTGATCTTCAAGAATTTCTTGATCAGGTATCGTATTTGAATGCTACAAAATAACCTTTTCCCAAAAATGTTATGGACTGTGATACTTGTTGCTTTCCTAACGCAGAGGTTCTCAACCTTTTCAAACTAATGTACCCCCTTACGAAGTTTGACTTGTCTTGCTTAAGTTTCCCCAAGTTTCCCCTCATTTAAAAACTGAATGCTTCCTAAATCAAATATCAAAATACAAAGGATCAAAGGACACTATTTTTTAAACATTGTTTACTTTCTAATTTTTAACCATATAAATATAACATAAGTAATCTGGAATATAAGTATTTTACTTACATTTCAGTGTATAGTACAGGCAGTCCCCGGGTTACGTACAAGATAGGGACTGTAGGTTTGTTCTTAAGTTGAATCTGTATGTAAGTCGGAACTGGCGTCCAGATTCAGCCGCTGCTGAAACTGATCAGTCTGGACACCAGTTCCGACTTACATACAGATTCAACTTAAGAACAAACCTACAGTCCCTATCTTGTACGTAACCCGGGGACTGCCTGTACAGATACTGGGCAAGAACTTAGTCACGCTGTACTCTGAGATTGCTGGTAATTGGCAAGAGAATCTGCATTCAAAGAAGAGAACCAAGAATGGAAGGGAAAAGCGGTTTCACAGTTTGTGGCATTCTTAGGAGGAGTTTGCTAACAGCTGTGTTACACAATACCCTGAGAATGAGTGTTTTACACAGTCCCTGGTCTCCAAGTCGCTGCTTGCAACTATAGAGATGTGGAAACCACCATTGCTTTTGCCATTGTTGCGAGGGGATTGCAAATACTGAATACACCCACAAAAGTGCACATGGTAGCAAGACTTTCAAGCCAACAGGCAGGTAGGAGAGATGGTTAGTAATGTGGCAAGCCCACATTAGTCACTAGAAGCAGCCGGGGAGCTGCGTGAGGCCCACTGCTGAATGTGCTATCCAGCGGCAAAGGGCAATACTCAGCCATTATGGTCTCTCAGACGGCTTGATAAGTGACAATGAACCCATATATAACGCACAAGTTCATTCTTTTACAGACATGAATGGAGAGCATCACGTCAAGTCAGCACCGTTCCATCCAGCCTCTGAGAGACTTGCCACCTTACCATTTTCTAGTCAACTAACAGATTTTAAGAACAGACAGGACCATAATGATCACCTAGGCTGACCTCCTGTGCAATCCAGGCCAGATACCGTTATTCACATAGGCTGTGTCTACACTGGCATGAATTTCCGGAACTGCTTAAAACAGAATACTATTCCGTTTTGGATAAACAAGCCCTGCTCTTTCCCAATCACTGCTGCTGCCACACACCAAGCCCTCCAAGTAATCCCTAAGGTCACATGCCTGGGGGGATGGGATGTAAATGGGGGGAGAGGGCAGGGCAGTAGCGTGAATGGGGGTAGATACAGGCATGCCCCCCACCCTGGACCATCAGGTCTCCTGGACCAGATTGTGAATATGCTCCAGCCTACAGATGGCTTATGGTCTGGGACTTTGAGACCCCTGATCTAGACCCCTCATGAACAAGATCGGTATGTGCAGTATAATGCTATATGTTTGAAAAATAAATCGTATTTCATTATCATGTGTGATGTTATCTGTTTGTGAATTCTGCAGAGTGCATCTGGAACTGGCCTGGCTTTTATTGTTTTCACTGAAGCAATTATTCTGATGCCTGGCTCACAGGGTTGGGCGGTCCTCTTTTTTATAATGTTGTTCAGCTTGGGTCTTTCATCTATGTTTGGAAACATTGAGGGAATTTTGACTCCCCTCTCGGAGGTTCGTATTATATCTAAATCTGTACCCAAGGAAGTTCTATCAGGTGAGCAGGTTGATCATAATGACTTTCTTCATTTTATTTTTAGATGCTAGGCTCTTTATTAAGTTTTTCCAGGAAACATTTTATGGGGAATTAGAAAAACTTGCAAAACTGCCTCGCAGCCACTTCAGAATACAAATGAATATACTAGTTGTGAGTTCAGCACTTTATCAAGTCTCTTTATCCGAGGCACAGTGTACAGATCAGATAGTATCATTAAGGCAGGAGTTGCCTAATGGTAATACCGAGTCCTTCAGATTTTTCCTTAGCTTGAGTCTTCAGAAAAATGGTTGTATTATTGTTAGTTTTCATATGTAGTTTCCTTTTGTAGAAGCAAGTAGAACAAGCATGTTTTCTGCCTTCACCTCTCTAATTGAAGTCAATTAGTGAAGCTGAATTGCTCTCCCAGAACTGTGCATAGGTTCTGTAGCAGGTTTAATTTGGCTTTCCTCACTGGAGTTTTAAAGGGATTTTAATCAGCAACTGGACCGAATGGACAGAAAGGACAGAATGAAGGCTGCTTTCATAGCAAGCCAAGACCATGGCAAATTAAAACAATACCTCTGGGTTTGTGTAATGTCCTTCCTACCTCCTAGAGCAGTGTTTCTTAAACTTAAAAAAAAATTGTGTGGCATTCCTTGGGCTTATAAGGTCAGGGGCAAAAGAGAAGGCTGCGGCCATTTTGAACTCTGTTGTTCTCTGCAGCACACCTCTGACTGCCTTGTAGCACACCGGTGTACCACAGAACACTGTTTAAGAAACATTGTCCTAGAGCCTATGGGGAGAATCCTGCACTCCATGTCACTCGCTCTCTCCCTCAGCCTATTACACTTGGATCCTAGGTCAAGATAAAACCTTTGAGCAAGAACTGATACATCAATGGATGGTCTGCAATAAGCTTAGGGGTGCTGATCTGAAAATGAATCTGAAGGAATGTGTGCTATTAAATTACTCTGGGCACACAGTTGGTGAGGAGGACATTTTTACTGATAAAGAAAAATGAGGCGGTACAGAACTGGACAAGTCTCTAGACAACTGTAGACTTACAGGTTTGCAAGCACTTGCCCTGAAATTTCAGGTATAAGTGCTGCACAGTGGGTGAGAAGATCATTGGCGTATGATTTGGCATTTGCACCACTAGAAAGTGTATTTGTGACCATCCTTGTCTTGGTACACCCACATTTCAAAACCTCTTTCATGTTTCCAGATAAAAACATTAAAATGGAACCGCTCCTTTTCTTTTCTTTCCCAGGACTCTTCCTTGGCTTCTAGTTAATGCACAGTCATCTTATGTATACACTTAACTAAAGGGACAAACAGATACAGATCTTCAATTCAGAGCACACAGCCCACCTTCAAGATTCAAGGGACTCAGAGTCTCCTTTGTATTTAGAGTTGCTTGTGGACCAGTTCCACAGGAGAAACCGAGGCAGCTGAAGGCTGCTCTAAATTATGCTGTCAGCTGTTTGCCCCAAAAGGTCTTCATTAGATCAAAGATTGCCAGAATGCAGGAAGCCCTAGCCACCCCTCTCACGTTGGCCACAAGCAGTTGGGGGCTCTGAGAAAGAATTGGCCACACCTTCTCTATGCCCCAAAGGATCCTGCTGCACTTTATTGATTCTCCTGTGGCTAGTTACTCTAGCTTCATGATTGCATCGCCAGCATTTTTTAGCCAAAATGCCAGGGAAAATCTGATCTGTATTTTATTCCCCAAACAACTTAGTCCTCTGAATGTCATTGTTCCTCATGCTAAGCTAGTAAATTATAGCTTCATACCAAAGCTTGTTGGTCAAAATTATTAAAATGAGCAAAAATAGTCACCATATCTGAACAGGGTACCCATCATGTATTCTTTACTAACAACATTAACTTTTTTATTTAGGTATAATATGCCTGATCTCCTTTGTGACAGCTCTATGTTTTACCCTGAGGTCTGGTAGCTACTGGCTTGAAGTTTTTGACAGTTATGCAGGTTCCTTGCCTTTGCTAATCATCTCTTTCTTTGAAGTTACTGGTGTTGTCTATGTTTATGGAATAAAAAGGTAAACTGGGAACAAGTTGGATTTTTTAGAGCTGTCAATTATTATCACAGTTAAGCAATTAACACAAAATAAATTAAGAAATTGAATTGTGACTCATGGCAGTTTTAATCACACTTTTAAACAATACAATAACCAATTTACATTTATTTTTAAATATTTTGAAAAACAAAACAAAACAAAACAAACAAGAAGTCTTGTGGCACCTTAAAGACTTGGGGTACGTCTACACTACAACGTTAGTTCGAACTAACTTAGCTCGAATTAGTTAATTCGAACTAAGCTAATTCGAACTAACGGATCCAGACTAAAAAACTAGTTCAAATTAGCGTTTTGCTAATTCGAACTAGCATGTCCACATTAAGTGGACCCTGAACCAGGCTTAAGGATGGCCGGAAGCAGTGCCGGCAGGGCATCAGAGGAGGACTTAGAGCGTGGAGATGCTGTCTCAGGCTAGCCGAGGGCTGTGCTTAAAGGGTCCCGACCCCCACCCCGGACAGACAGTTCTCAGGGGTGCCCCGCTTGCAAAGCAGTCCTGGCTTGGATTACCCGGAGTACCCACACTGGGCACATCACAGCACTCGGCCATCAGCCCGGCTGCACTTGCCGCAGGCTGCCATCTGGGGAGAGGGGGCAATTGGGGGGCTGCAGGAGAGCTTCCACCCCCAGAAGCCCGCAGAGCCAGCCCAGTCCTCCCCAT